TTGAAATGGTTCGTTTTCAATCTATATATTTTAATATTGCGCTCAATCTCTGGCTTCTTGAGATGTGGCCAGATGATCAGCCACGGTGTCAACTCCTCTCCGATACAACGGCGACCGGATAAAACTCATTTTGTATATGTTGGAATTATTCCGCAATCTGTGTGCTTCAACTGCTGGAGCGAGCCGAAGGCATACCTTGTTTTCATTCGTACTTTATGTCACTGCTCTAGCCTTGTATCCATGACGGGATTTGGCCCCCCACAACGGAACAAAGGCTCCGCTATCCGAACTGGATGTATGTTTGGGCCAAGGAGCACACCTCTATGCCTCTTCGCATGGCAAAAATCGCTGATGAGTACCATGTGCATCATCTTCATTCTCCTCTTGGTCTAGACCATCCTCATTGATGTGTTCTCAGCTAAAGTTGAACGTACTTTCCGAGCATGAAGTGCTCTGGGGTAGGGATTCTGAAACCACCCTCCATAATGTTGTTGAGCCAACCTTCGTCGCCTCTGGATTACAAGCTGTGGTGCGGAAGTTAACCTTGATCATCTCATTTTATTGGTTCACTCAGTATTTAACACTTTTGAGATCAAAAACTGAACCTTGTTTTGAGCATCTGCTCAGGACATTTCATTCACATTGAATGTCGCTCAACTAAAGCTAATCATTTCGAGTTGAACTGGCCCGTATTAAAATTCCCTCGCTCAATCACTAATTAGATGTGTTCAAGCTTCTGTTCACCATGTTAAACACCGTTGCTTAATCACTGATTAGCTGTGTTCAAGCTTCGTCTGCTATGCAAGTTGTCACTGTTCATCCCCTGATTAATCATGAACTGATGTTCACACAGCAGTTTTCGAGTTGTAGTGACACATGTAATGACAGCTCGAGTTTGATCAAATCAGTATTTAATCTGTGAATGACTGGCCAGAAGAGAGGGGCAGACTCGAAGGTGGCCTGGGCCTGCTTCCCAGACACGATGCATTCCGGACTTTCGGGCATCGAGGGCAAAGACTGTAGCGGCGGGCACCAGGTTTCCCATAACCCGAAGCAGAGCAAATGCTAGTGCACTTGATGTGTTGGCCCAGAAAGCTGTTCTCGGGACATGGTTAACGTTGTGCGCAGCCGTACGTTTATCAGGATATCATGGGTTCGATCCCGCTTCTAAGTGTTCTTTTTCTCTACTCAACTCAGATTTAATCTGTTTAATCTGTTTAATCTGAACATCGTTCAATACCGGTTCAATCATAACCCTGATTAATCCGAGTGGCAGCATGTTGCGCCCTGCACTAGAGTGGATTAAACTGAACACTATTTAAACAGTGATTAACGTTCCAACGCCATTTGATTGTTCAAACTTTGTATAGATTTATAAAATTTCTTAGTTAAAATTCCCTAGATCCGCGTTGTGTCGTGGTCTACCCGCGGGAGCTTCGAATAATCTCCGCCCCTCTCCACAAGCTAATTCGAAATAGCTCGCCCCATTATACAGCGTAACAAGTCAAGAGATGCTGCCTTTGATCCCTTCTCGGCTTGAGCACTGCACTGGTTGAACATTTCAAGTTTTTCAGTGAGAAAATTGGTAAAAAACTTTACCAGTTTTACAGGAATTTCTCACTGAAAAAATAGGTGAAAAACTCAAAATCTTTACAGAACTTTTTGACTCACAATCCCTTTTTTCACCAAAAACAGAAAAATTCCTGTAAAATCAGTAAAGTTTTTCACCAATTTTCTCACTGAAAAACTTGAAATGTTCAACCAGTGCTGGGGCAAGATTAAATGGCTCCAAGGTGGAGATATGATGCACACGAGTGAGCTTGGGAAGCATGGAACTCGAGATATGGCATACATCAAGGTTTGTTTCATTTTTACTACTCGTAGGATGCTCATAAATATTTCTGTAGTTCAACGGACATTACGGCCAGCTCCGATTCTTACTTGTCCTCAAACTCGGGCCATCTGCCATCCTCGGAAGAACTACAACCAAGATCCACCTTTTGGCTCTTGTCGCCAAAAGCATCATGACTCGGAATAATCGGCCGGACATGCCGCACACGAAGGGTAAATTCCGTGCTGTCGAAATTATTGATGCAGATGACCTAGAATTAGTTGTCGGTCATGTTCCCGACCGCGGTGAATATGTTTTCATCGAGTGTGTTGGCTGCAACAATGTATTAGAAGCCCAGGACGACCCAGAACAGGCTGTGGCGCCTCGTAATCATTGGCAGAAACATGTACAAGGAGGGTAGAATAAATTCTTCCCACTGCCGCGAGCAGATTTTCGAGTGTCACGGTTTCGGGATGAACATTGAACTGTCATGAATTCATGATGTGCAGAATATCGCATTTCAGGCATCGTGAATCACATCATGACATTCATGATCCCATTCCTAAGGGGATATCGTAAAACTTCAGTGGTGGCGACATCCATGCTCCTGATAAATTCCTGATAAAATATCCATTAAATGGAAAAAAAAATAAACTGTGTAGGGTGTGACCAACACGCCATCACATGCCCACACTGCATGCCCACTCTCCACTGTTGTTCCCTGCACTTCGATGATGGGGATGTCTGTGCTTCCGATAAATTCCCGATAAAATACCCATTAAATGAAGAAAAATAAACTGTGTAGGGTGCGACCAATGTGTCATCACACACCTGCACTGTGCGCTCACTGTCTGCTATTGTTCCCCGCACTTTGGTGGTGGGGACATCCACAATTCTGATGGATTTCCGATAAAATATGCATTAAAAGCAGACAAATAAACTGCATAAGGTATGGCCAATGCGCCATCACATGCTTGCACCGTGCGGTTGCTGTCCACCATTGTTTTCCCACCGCCAAATTGCAGGGAACAACAGCGGACAGCGGGCATGTGGTGTGGGCGCGTGATGGCACATTGGTCACACCCTACACAGTTTATTTTTCTCCATTTAATGGATATTTTATTGAGAATTTATTAGGTGTGTGGACATCGCTGCCACCAAAGTGTGGGGAACAGCAGTGGACAGTGAGCATCCCGACAGCAGCAATGTATGGTCCTCGAGCAGCCCTTCTTCCGAGACCACTTCCACTGTTCACAGACACTTCCGAGACAAAGAGAGAGCTGATGAAGAGCATCGGGAGCCTGGAGGGTGCCTGCTGATGTCACTGTTGAGCGGAGTTTGAATAATTGTTTCATTTTCGATGGGACGAGCTACGAGCCTTAGAATTGAGCATCCCTAATGGAGATAAGTCCAGATGGAGAAATGACCACAACTACCAACAAACGAGGAGCATCTCGTTAAAGAACGGTTAATGTTGAAAAAGGGAGGAAGAGGGTGTGGTGTACAGTGCATCACTGTGCTCTCTCCCAGAGTCTCAATCAGAAATTGTAGGTAGCAGAGCCGGGTTCGACCCCCAGCACCCACATGAGGGATTGAAGTGTCAAGACTTTTTTGTAAGATAATGTGGATTTCAATAGTCTACGACTTGCAGCACCCATACGTCCCAAAAAACCCCTCTAAGTAGAGGGCTTTTAATTAGCTCTCAGTGGTGCGATAAATCCCCTTAAATACCTATTTAAGAGTGCTAAATACTTGAGTGGATGAACCCTCGAACCAAGGAGTTTCTGAATTAACTTTGTGCCTGGCCTAGGTTTTCCTTCAACTCCAGCCCATGCCACCCCAAAAGTATCATGAACTGCCCTTTCAACACATTTTTTTGCAGATTTTGGATGTCAGCCAGGATGATTTGGGTCTCCCCTTCAATTCTAGCCCACTCCGCCCCAAAAGTATCATGAACTGAGCTTTCAGCGCATTTTTTGCGGATTTTATGAAAGAAGAATATTTATAGCCATCAATTCCAGATTGATAGATGCTGATCCGGATGGGGACAATTATCTATCAGATTGAATTTTTAATATGTTTCTTGCACGAATGACCGGGGTTGATGAAATTCTAACAGGGTATAACAACTTGCCTCTTATGCATTTTGGGGTATATTACTATGGCGGGTGTCTATGGATAACAGGCGCACCAGATTTTTATTAATTACTAAGCCCACCCTAATTTTCTGGTGATTTTCGGGGCATTATTGAAGGCGGCAGCATGGACTTATGGGGGGTGGTAGGGGTTTTGATGTGATCATGATGCGGATGCCCTGCCATCATTTTGATATGTGGGATAATAGGCGCACCGGCTTGCTATTAATTACTGAGCCCACCCTAATTTCATGGTGATTTTAGCATGATTATTGAGGGTGGCGGTGTCGAGGCGGCGGGTGTTTGATGCTATTGTGATGCGGACGCCCCGCCATCAATTTGATATGTGGGATAATAGGCGCACCGGCTTGCTATTAATTACTCAGCCCACCCTAATTTCCTGGTGATTTTAGCACAATTATTAAGGGCGGCGGCGTCGAGGTGGCGGGCATTTGATGCGATCGTGATGCGGACTCTCCGCCATCACTTTGATACGTGTGATGGCCAGTTGATGGCCGTGGTTAGCTCCGCACTAATGCTTACCTCTCATTTAACACTAGCTCAACGGTATTTAGCACTCTTAAATAGGTATTTAACGGGATTTATCACGCCACTGAGAGCTAATTAAAAGCCCTCTACTTAGAGGGGGGAGAACTGATGGTTCTCCCCCTCTAACTAGAGGGGTTGTTTGGGACGTATGGGTGTGGAGTCCGCAAAAGACATGTTGGAGAAGCAAATCGAAATATTGACACATTGTGCTGGATTGTTTGGCTTGCACGTGCACTCGGCCTGAAACCCGCAAGCAACAAGCGAGGCAAGTCGCGCTGCCACAACGTCCGGGAGAGGAATCTGCAAGTGAGCGGGGGTGATTTACAGTACACCGATGTTCTCCATTCGGCCGATGTCCAACAGACAGGGGAATGTTTGGACTCGGATTATTTTCAAGGAATGTGCACATCTGATGTCAGGTCTTGCGGCAAGTGCCATTCTGCGGAGCACGCTAATAAGCAGGTGGAATGTGATATTGGAAATATGCGGGTATGGTGTAACGGTAACATAGCTGTCCTCAATTATATGCGTCCATGCACCTTGCAGATGGCAGGACCGGGCTCGACTCCCGGCGCCTGCCTCAGCCAGTATCTCTCATTCATATTTTTTACCACGTGGATTTCTATTACGACCTGCGGATACTTCGAATTCTGAACACGTCCTGCTTTCGACGATAATCAACCATCAACCATCTTTGACCTCGGCATGAAATTCGAAAAACATGTGGCCAGCCCGAGTTTCCCGCTTGCGGGTGCGCACGCTCATAGATGGAAGGGAATTGAATGCGGGGAGTAAGCGGGCGTGGTGTATGGTACACACTCACTGGTGGAATATTCTAGGGTTTCCCTTCCGTACAACAGTAGAACTGGGTTCGAATTCGAGTCCCGGCGCCCGCATGGGGATTTCCTTCCATTTTTTGTTTCGTTCTCGTTTTGCACCGCTGCCCAAAGACTGGGAGAATATTGACGGATGGCCGAGAGTTTTTGGTGGGCACTCGGTGGTGGTATGTTCGTACCCTTGAGCCAAATCAAAGCTAGTACACGGTGCCACCGTGTTATACGTCCGGGGAGAGCGGGGTACCGTGCTGCGGAGTGAGCTTAACATACTATGAACAGCGGTAGAGCCACACAATGTGGATCACGTTTGGTTTGCGTGTTTGCACCTTGAACAGCGCTATTCGGGGCCAACGAACCGGGAACCAATCTTCGACCATAAAAACAAAAAGACAACAATGTCGCAGATTCGGTGTATGTTGCATGCTGGGTAAGGATCTCACCAAGAGTTGAGAATGTGCGGGCGTGGTGTACGGTAAAATTGTCGTCCTCCGTTTTCAGGATCATTGCAAGTTGCAGACAGCAGACCCGGGTTCGAGTTCCGGTGCCCGCATTGACGTTCGGTCTAGTTTTTCTCTTCCTTCCCGTTTAGAAGGGAGAATCCGGTCGGACCTAGGTATTTTTATTCCTGGGCAGTAGTATTCTTGGCATGCGGAGCTGAGACCGTCTAAATACGAGCTAGTACACGGCGACACCGTGTCGGAATCGGCGTACCGTGCTGCGGAGAGCTTAAAATACTGATCTTAATGCGAGCGAGTCAGGAACGCGGGACGTGCGATTTGTATGCGGTTTGGGCAGCGTTTGATTCGGGTGTGGGTTGGGTGGGACTTGTCAAGTTGAACCGTTGTTGAATGCACGCCATGGGGAAAGGGCGATCGTTGATCGTTGCTGGTCGTTGTTGCTCAACCAATTCAAAAACGGGTGCGGTACCCGCGCATGGGGCATTTAGTTCCGCGTTGGAGGTACGCTGGCGTATTTAACGAATAGAGGCGCAGCTGGGAGGAGCATGAACGCCGGGGAGACGGCGTGGAGGAGCTTAGAAAAGCACCGGAATAGCACCGGAATAAGGAAAGAAAACGAAAATAGAAAGCAAAACGATAACTCGGCAGCTATATAGACGCCATCACGCGGTGCACAGCCTGCCCGCACGCGTGGTTGCTTGCCCGTTGCGGTCCGGGTTCGCTCCTGTCATCTTTCCTGCATCCTCGTACCTCTCCTCCTCTACCCGCCTCTTCTCCTCTGCTTCGCTTTGCAGCTAGAAGCCCGAGAAAGATCGTTCATAGACACACGACCCGACCACTAGCTAGGAAACAGGATTCAAGCCGGATATTCGCAAGATACAAGAGCGCGAGCACGCAGACCCGTTCCTGGCGCCCTATGCGACGCCCCCGCAGCACTCGCAAAGGTACTCCCCGTACTCCGACCAGCCCGGCGCGCTCCTGGCGCCGCAGCACCCGTACGGCGGTGGCGGCGCATACGGCACCAACTCACAGCTGGGCGACGCGTACCGCCATGACCCCGTCTACCCGCCCGCCGGCGCCTCCCCCAACAACTCCGCTCTCCTCCTCCACACCGGCGCCTCGGCCGAGAACGCCGCGCTGTCGCGCAGCTACGGCCCCTCTTACGTCCCGGGCGCGGGCGGTGCCACTGCGTCGCGGAGGAAGCGACGCTGGATCGGGCTCGGCGTCGTAGTCGGCATCATCGCCATCGCGGTGGCCGTCATGCTGCCCGTATACTTCCTTGTCATCAAGAAGCATAATGACACCTCGGCGAGCGGGACTGCGAGCGGGGGCAGCGGCGCGGGTGGGAGCAAGGGCGTGGTGGGTAGTGATGGCAAGGTTCGGTTCAGAAATCGGTTCGAACCTGAACCGAACCGAACTGAACCCCAGGTTCAGGTTCAAGGTTCGGGCTATCGTGATTTTCCCCGAACGCGTTCGAACCTGAACCGGAATTGAACCGCAAGGGCCCTATTTCAACTCAGTTGCGTCTTATTTTCCGGAGTTTCACACATAATTTGACTGATTATACTCTCTATCATGCCTAATTCTCCCTCCCGAGTAACTCTAAAGGTTTTTCACCATGATGTTACCCTCGTCGGAGTCGCAGGACTCAGCCGATATGGTGTCACATGATCTGTTGAGCACGGAGTTATTCAGATTGCTCCTCTGTAGGCACTGCATGTGTCTGGAATTGTCCTAGGATGTAAGTTCCAATATAATGAACCATTTACAACATTTTTTGTAGCTCCAAGCAGGTCATTGGGGGCCTGGGAAATTTCTTCAGGTTCGACAGGTTCGAACGCGTTCGAACGCTGAACCGAACCTGAACGCAAGTTCAGGTTCAAGGTTCGGGAAAAGGAGCCTGAACCTGAACCGAACCGAACTTTGCCAACACTAGTGGTGGGCGCCGTCACGGGTGCGACGGGAGCACCGTCGTCACCGCGAACGGGTCGAGCTTCGTGTACAATAATTCCTTTGGGGGTTATTGTGCGTGCCTCACCCGATCTTGACGATAACTGACAGCGCGCAGGGGCCTGGAACGCCGCGAACCCCTTCGGTTCGGGCGGCCGCCCCAACAGCTGGACGCTGCCGCTCAACGAGAGCTGGGACTGGGCGGCGGACAAGATCTACGGTGTTAATCTGGGCGGGTGGTTCGTCCTCAAGCCGTGTACGTCCTTCCTTCAATCCTCCCCTTCTTTCATTCCACCCTCGTCCTCCATCCCACCCTCGCTCTCCTACCCGCCCATCCTTTATTCATCCTGCTCCCTCTATCCCCGTCCCCCTCCCTCTTCCTCCCTCTCTATTCCTATTCTCCCTTCCACTCTTCCTTCTGCCCTATCGCCACGTCCTGCCCTGCCCCACACGCGCAACCGGCGTCGCGATCTGCGAGCCGCGATTCTCTCTTTCATTCTCCTTTTTCCATTCTTGCCCCGGCGCGTGCGGCGTGGCGGGGCGGGGGGAGCGGCGGCGCTGCCTCCTTGACCTCCATTTTTGTGCATGTGTGTCTGTCGCACGGATGCAAATCCGGATGCAGAGCCGGACGGACGACGTGCCCATTCCTGCGGGGCACTGGTGGCGCTTGCGCGTCCCTGGCGTCGCTCTCGGAGGCGAATAGAGCGCGGGTGGAGTGGAGCCATCTATTTCATTTTTTGCGCGCGTGACTGGGGGTGCGCATGCGCGTGCGGCTCGTGGGATTTGCGTCTGTCGCGTCCCTGTGTCGGCGCACCCTGTGTCGGCGCACTTCCTTTACGCTCGGCAGCGGGTGGAAATGGAGCGCGCGTCTACTTTAAATTCCAGTTTACGAGCGTGTTGTAGCGGGTGCGGATGCGGGCGTCGGATATACTGGGGGATTGGCCGCGTGTGCGCGTCCCTGCATCATGCGCGGCGCTTTGCGGGTATCTGAGGCCAGCGCGGGAGCCGCCTCATCCATCATCCATTTTCCCTTGGTGCCCCCGCGCGGCTAGTGGGGTGCGGCTCTCTGGCGAATGAAGCGCAGGAGATCGGGCGGGAGTCATTTTCCTTTTTTCTTTTTTGTGCGCGTGCGGCTATTAGTATTCCGGCCCCTGGCTCCTGGCTTCCGGCTGATGCGTCTGACGCGCAGGGGGCTTGCACGCATTCGGCGGACGAGGTCAGGTCAGTCTGGCTGCGAGTATGAGTTTGAGTTGGGTGGGCGAGGATTGGGATTCACGCCGCGAGGATGCCGATGGCTCTCTCGAGTGCAGGGGCGGTCCAGTGTGCTACGGACTCGCATTCGCATTCGCGGGCGATCGTGCTGCATTGGCGCGTTTTCGCCGCCGTTGCTTATGCTGCCCTGCGCACACACCCTTCGTCTTCCTCTCTACCGCCCTCGTTACCTTTCCCCCGTTCCTCCGTGCGCGACTGCGTGGGAAATGGGCGAGCCGGGTGGTACATCTAGATTTTTTCCCCGCGGAATATTCATGTTTTGGTTCGGAGTTAACGTCGAACGTCGAATGCTGAACGAGATCAAATGCATTGATAAGTTCCCCAAGAGCTCCGACGCGTACGGATTTGGGTCTGGGTTTCGGCTCTCAACCGCAGAAGCGCTGCGAACTCGGATTCGCGCGCTGTTTTTGGTGTGCGTACGTCATTTCTTTCTCGTCCTTCCCCGCTCCTCCCCCCTCCGGAATTTCGCGACCGAGAGCCGGATTGTACAATATATATATTCCTTCCCCGCGGAATGTCGACGTCAATACTCTGGGTCGGAGTTGGACTTCGAATGTCGCGGTTGACCGAGATCAAATGAGTTTGCCAAGTCCTCCAATCACTCGTCCACATATTGGAGTGAAAGAAAGATTTACAAGGCCCGGTGGCAGATGGTCCGCCTCTGCACTGAATCTGCAGAAAGACACAAATTTGCGCGCAAAAGTCGCTCGTTCGATTCGAGCCCGGGCCATGGAGGAACGAAGTCACTGTACTTTTGTTCGGACCAGCAGCGAGCTCATTTATCTCGCAGCGAACGACGGTCAGGCGAGGGTGCCGCACCCTGTCGAAAATTCGTCAGAAGCATCCCGAGCCGTTGAACCGTTCTGCATTTTCCACCGGATGCGATATAAACTCGGTAGACAACTGCAGATTGTAAGTATCGACTCAATGGCGGAGGGTCCGAGGCCATTTCCGAAGCCGTTCAAGGAACCGTCGGTTCGAATCCGGCTCGAGTCATGCTATGAGACCACCTAATCTTTATTAACCGCAAAGCTCTTATTAATTGAAGCGAGGAGCGTAGAATG